ACCGTTCATCCACGGAGGCATATTATGTTGCGCGGATATCCTTTATCAGCGTGGTGATGCCAATGTATTTTGCTGAAAATTTGTAGTAAGTCATGCGAAAACGAGTGACCTCCTTGATGCGCAGAGTGCGTGGCGATAGCAGCGGCCTCCTAAAGTATCAAGGTTCATTCCTTGAACTCTGAATCATACTTCATGTGTACCTGAAACCTACTGAACATTTGCATTTGTATTTTTTTTATATAATACCAAGTGACTGGACGAACAAGTCGTGCGCCTGGTGGTAAGCGACACGCCTATCCATAACAGTTGCCATTCAGAGATTTAAATCATAAAGATCTGTGGGGCACTGCCACTCCACCCTGAGACATAAGTTGACAAGTCCCATGTGCCTGTAATTTCACCAACACCCCTACCCTTCAAAACTGGAACGCATTAATGCTCACATTACAGTGGCAGTACTTCTCTGGACAAACTCTTTCACAAGGAGCTCTACAGATACTAATTATTAACAGTAGCATCAAAAATTTTGTTTATTCACATTATTTGTACAATTTTTGAAAATTCAGAGCAATACATTAGTAACCAATTTCCTTGACACTTTTACATTTTTATTTTTCATGCAATATTTAATTGCAGGATGTGAAATCACGTAGAGGTCTCGGGTTCAAATCGTCGAATCTTTCATTTCGTTCGAATCGAGGAAGGAATATTTGTGTGGCCTACATTTATTTATCTCGTAAGTTTGGGTGCAATTTGTGGTAGTCTATGTATGTGTCCAAGGCTCCGGCGATACAGGGTTTCCGTAGTGCGGGGTTATGAGTGTGTGCGTTATTATTATTAGGTAAATAAACTCTTGTAGATAGGAATTTTGTGTTATGACGTTTTGGTTATTTAAAATAGCATGCAATAGCTCTATATATAAGACCTCTTTAATGCTATATAGTGAACAAAAACAAATACTGTGACAATACATTAATATTTGAGGTTTAACAGGGCCTCATTTTATTTTTGACGTTAACCAAAAACAAACGCGACTCAACTTCTAACGATCGTCAATATGGACAAGTCATCAATCTAGACACTTTAGTACAACCATGTAATATACGGCAAAGTGCAGAATTCTCAGAGTTCAAAACATCGAAGCACGTAATTGATTGCTTCTGTAATTGTCCGAGTAATTTGTGATGTATCTACGCCGCGAGCATGAGAATAAATGTGTTGATTAGGATGCGGTCCACGTTAAGGATCGTCATTACATTCATTAACTACATGTCGTGTCAAGCCAACTAACTAATTGGCAAACAAAAGAGGCGCAGGAATGCCTCGTAAGACACGCTTCTGCGTCGTATGCGTTTCAGCTGCATTCTAGCGCGGAGTCAACGGGATTTACTAGACTGAGACTTGGAGTTTAATCGATTATATCCATGCAATCTGCGGCTAGTTATTGAACTTTCTGATTGCTCAATGGAATTTATTATCTAGGCTTTAACCGCTCACTGTCAGCAGGGTTTTTTTTTGCTTGTGTCTGGTGGTAAGCGACATTTCTATCTATAGGAGATGCAGTGTCACTCAGAGCCTTAAATTGCAAAGGTCTGAGGGCTTGACAAGTTGACAAGTCCCATGTAATTTCACCAGCTACCTTGACCCTTCAAGACCGGGACACTCACATTACTGCTTGGCGATAGAAATAGGTAAGGTGGCTGTACTTCCCTAGACGAACTCTTTCACAAAGGGCTCTACTACTGCTAAAAAGGTTTTGTCGATTTTTTTTTAATTTATTTGCTGCATTGATAATTTGTATCTAGGCATTAAAAAGACCAATATAACAACACAGCAGTACATAACTACATAATAAAATAACGCATAACATATAGGGTAGGGTATAATACGGTTGGGTTATATTGTTATGGGTTGCACCCATTCGCACGCTTCGGCGCTGTGTATTAAATAATCTGTGGTTGTGTCCAAAACATGAAACTAAACTCGTGTTTATGTGTGGAGTTTCTTCACAACGTTTTAGTATTAAAGATGCTCTGTACGACACAAGTTTGGTCCAAACCTGAACAAATGACAAATACTACATGCTAGGTAGTTAATATACACACCACCACGATTAGGAGTAAAAAAGTGAAGTCGAATATTTTACATTTTTTTTGGTCTAATTTTAAAATAAAACATTTTTAACGATTGTCATTTGTTTTAATTTCCTACTAATACAGGTTTGTCGCGTAGTTCGAGGTTGTTTTTGCGTAGCTGTGAATTTAAAGCTTTTTGTGAGTTTTAAGCTTTAGTTGAAATAGTATTTTTTTTTATTTATTCAAGTTTGATTTAATCAATGTTACTTATCGAGTTCTTAGGTATTCGCTATTATTACACATAGCATTTGTTTTTAATTAAAGCAAATGTTTTTAATTTTTAAATAACGATTTAAATTCGGAAAAATAGTTTAATTTCCAATGTTACTTACATATAATTTTAAATTTTCAGCTGTATCTGCTTTGACACAGAATCTAAAAGAAATGCATTTTGTTTTGTTTTTTTTTAACAATGATTAAGTAAGGCTGTAGGTACTAAATCGTTTTTAAAAGATGTTTATTTAATTTTTATATAATAATTTAAAAATAATTTTATGTAACTTTGTGTGACAATTTTATTTATATTAATATGAATGCTCATTCACGGTGCTGATTTCCCAGAGAAGAACGAGCAAGAAACTCTAGGGATTGCTCTTTTCAAATAAACTTAAATGCTATGGAATACACTTTGAATCAAATTTATTTGGAATCTAGAGATCATGTCGTTTTTCCATACATCTTTATCTAATCAATAATTTAACAGTAAATTTGTCTCTTCCATACAATAATCTATTAACATTACATTAACAACGTAATTTTGTAATATGACTTTTCAATTAAAATACTCTTAATGTAAGTTTTAAACGTTAGAAAATCTTAATATATTCTCTGAAATCTTATTATACGCTTCTATAACAAGATTCCGGTTGATATACAAAATTTGCCTTTTTTTTACGAGGTTAAAACTATAGTGAAACAAAAACTTTATACTAAAGGTTATTATACAACTTCTGCGTACTTGGATGACAAAAATCCGTGGTAGTAACCCGTTTAGCTCATGGAGGTAGTCTCGATCTCTGATGTTTCAAATAAAATAAATAAATATTGTAAATGTTATTTACAAAGAGCAACCCCTAGAGTTTCTTGCTCATTCTTCTCAGGGGAGTCTGCCTTACGAATGAGCGGTAGAGTTTAACCATTGTGACGATTTCAAGTGTAATAATGCTTACCTATGAAATAAAGATTATTTTGAATTTGAATTTTGATTTTATTGTAAAATAACTAAATATGCCAATGTGTGTTTATGAATATATTTCTAAGCAATGTTTTTGAACAGGTGTTTAGACCCCGCGATCATCCTCAGAAAGTAACAGATTCGTGCTGCAAGACGTATAGCTTCAGGTTACCGATACGAGTAGGTACAGAAGTAACTAATGGTCGATGCTTCATCGAGCTTTATAAATATCTGTAACACGTATGACTATTTTTTATCCCCTTACTTCGTTTTGAGAAACACTAACAGTATAAAAAGTGAATCGCTGTAAAAACAGTAAAGACTTTTTGTAACAGGCCAACTGCATACTTTTCCTACATTTTTTGTCTTCCGATCATAAAAGCCCTAACTCATAACACTGTTGAGTTTCTTATGCACTTTTTGTTGTATTTCACATAACAACAGTTTGTTTTCACGGATCTTTTATTCCTCATTGTTCACATATGTTTAAAAGTGTGGTTCAAAACAAATCTTTTTCTTTCTTACTCGCCAAAGGAGTTGCTTAACTAATCTTAGCCTTTTAAATATGGAACGCAAAGAATTTTTTTTTTTAAACTAAATAGTTGATTTGCAAAGCGTTTAGCCTCCTTTCAATACCGAAGATAAAGTTTACACTTCCAAATAGTCTAGCGTTAGAAAACGGAATGAATTCTGTCCCTAATTATTGTGCTAATTGTAAAAAGTTACCTATCCATTTGCTAATTAAAATCAGGCTTTATTATGTAAATAATACAAATTAATTACATTTTATTATGATTTATATATACATGGACGACCCAAAAACAGGTCTCAAAGGAGACACACGCAATGTAAAGTTAGTATCTATGGATCAACACATGAAAATATAATATGAAATTAAAAACAAGAGCAACCCAGATACCTACGTACTTTTCGAAAAACAATAGTGCTGTGATTATCGTAAATTACCTATAACAGAGGTTCCAGATTTTTTAGCTTTGAACACGTGAAGTAAATTTATTATTTATTTATATATAAATATACTAAAAATCCGCGGGTAATAGGTCCCCGATTCTACGAACATCTACCCACAGACCTGAAAAGTGTTAGAAACGATGAAACGTTTTGTACCCGACTAAAAATCCTTTTATTGGATATTGAATTGTACAGTGTCGATGAGTTTCTTTTGAAACAATTTTAATTTTATTTTATTCCACAAGCAGTAGTTATACTACTTTATTTTATATTCATTATTATTATTATAATTTTATTACTGACGATCATAGTTATCCCTTGACATTGTATTTCCAATTGTAATATTGTGACATTGATAACATGAAATAAACGATTCTATTCTTCTATTCTATTCTATGATACCTAACATCATTAAAAGTTCAGAATTAAAATTTTCATTAAAGTTTAAATCGAGACTTCAATATAAAAGTGGATAAGTTATAGTAAAGTTTTATGCTACATGTTTGTGAGTATTGTATTAGATTACTAAGTTTCTTTATGGTGTCACGCTTCATAAATCGAAAACGTGTTAGGTCACATTCTAAAGCATTTATCTAAGTACACAGATTTTAACAATGTATAGCTCTGTCGAAGCCCGGTTTCATTCACCTTTCAAATGGGCTAAAGCCTTAGCTTCCGAGCTTTCACTCGGAAACAAAAACAAATTAATTGATACTTACGGAAATAAAAATCCAAAACTGATACAATAAAGTTAAAAACACAGCACGAGTTTTTTTATTTAAAAAATGCAACTGTTTTTTTCGACACTGTTTCAGCGCGTACGAGCGTGCAACCAACGCAAAGATGGAAGGAGGACTGAGGACCGCCCTACCTACTGAGTGCAGGGGGCTATGGCCTCTCTACCACTGAATCAGACTATTGACGCGGTAACTTAGATTGCACATACAATGCTGACTTGGTAATGTTACAGTTGTAATAATAGTAAACAACACATTTTAGATTTTCTCTTTCCGATTTTTGGCAAGTAATGAGAATAATATTGAGCGTGGTTGTCTACCACATACGTAAGTTACCTGGGGTACTTTCCCGTAAAAAGCAACTCGAATAATTGGTTTCCCTATGTGATCTTACCGGGATTCGAACCTGATACCGCTGAACTGCTGGGTCGCTGCAGTCGTGAAATAATAGATAAAATAGACACACGCACAATTCTTTCATTCGTTGTATAAAACGTCCGTTTGTTTATATATGTTGTAACGTGTTATTTATATATGTTGATGTTTTAAGATAACACGTTGTTCTGTCAAATGGGCGAAAAGTAAACTCTCTCCATTTATGGAAAACCAGCATATGATACCTTCATAAAAAAGTCAAGTGATGATATAAGTTTTCTTTGCTGGTCTTTGTCAAAGTACATACTACGAGTACATTTTTTAATGTCTCTTTGAATTAATTTTAAACGCGCACAACACGGACTTATATAGATCCACTACACATATTTATAACATCTATTTGAATTTCATTTAAACGTAGGTGTTAATTTAAATTTGCAGTGATTGCAACTGCCACCAATGTACAGCAAACATAGAGACAATCACGCTTCGTCTCCCGAATTTGGCGTTTCGAGTAAAAGACGCTCGCGAGGTCGCCGACATATAGCCCGGCGCGGGCCGGCCCGGTCTCTGCCAGATTCGTTTTCCGGAAAAGCATCTAGACTGAAGAATCATCTAAGTAATAAGACTGCTTGAATCCTCGCAGTGAAGGTCGCAGTGTCTGACCACTTCACTTTGAGTGAGGTGTGGTAGTAAGTAATTATATATATATTTAGTAGCAGTGGCGCTCCTTGTGAAAGGTATACAATACAATAAAAAAATTCTTTATTATACACCAAAATAGATACAAATACAATACATTAATTAAAATAAAACGATATAAGCGGTGGTACAATAGGCGGTCTTATCGCTTTAAGCGGTTTCTGCCAGACAACTTTGGATGGAAGTAATTATAATTCATAGCAAAAAGACGGCCGTGTATGAAGATTTAGTAATCGATATACATATATGAATATCATAAACTACTATGTATTTATTTCATAATGAAATATAATTTGAAACATTAGTACCTTAGCAGTTCTAGTCACACTAAAGTAAGGTAGTATGCTTTTACCACATTTTTGAAAAGATGCAATGATTTCCCTTGTTGAATGGACAATGGTAGAGCGTTCCACAAACGCATAGTCTGAACAGTAAATGACTTGTCGTAGTACTGGGAGGTATGGTATCTTAAATTGGAGAGTTGAAGATGAGCGTAGTTGAAGCCAGGCAGTAATGTGAACATATTCATATACATACAGGACATATTCCAGCAGTGGCCGTATATGGGGTCTTATAGATTTTGAGGAACACGTCTACTGTCGTTGTTGGAACGATCTGCATATGACATAGATATAGGAGTTAGCTTTCTTGTCTATTGTAGTGATATGCTCATCCCGCTTTAAATTGAATGCTTAAATTCTTAATGAAACATAAAAGAATAATGACTGTGTGCAAAAAAAAAACAAATACTTACACACAATTTAGATCCGGATAATATCAGTACAGAATACTAAAACATCGATGTCAAAAGTTCGTGGAACATCTATTTGCCAAGCTTGATTGAAATTGGTTACCGGAAAGTGCGCGAAACCGTATTCATCCCCTAATTTGCCACCCTTAGAGGTGGAATATTTTCTTCAAATTTAAATAGTGATGTACCCTCTTTCCAACAAAAAAATAACCATCAAAATCGGTTCACAAATGTCCGAGTTATCGCGTAACATAACATACAAAAAAATACAGTCGAATTGATAACCTCCTCCTTTTTTTGAAGTCGGTGAAATAGAAAAATAAAATAGTTTCATTTCAAAACTCGTATATTTTTGTTTTTTTTCAAATAAACCAACAATTCAAGTCACATGGTAACGGCTGAATCTTCTTCTACTGTTCAGAATTAATTTGTTATTTTTCAATATTTTCAAAAGTCTTATTTTACACGCTCAACTTGGTAAGCAGTAAAGACCACCGGAAACAAAAAGCTGTTATTGTAAAGCAAATTAACTAAGTTCATAAAGAAGGCTCTCATAAATTCCCCGGTTTACGGTAATAGGAAAGAGTAAATTATAATTTATTAGCTCCCTCAGCCCAAATTCAAATCCATCGTTTCGTAAAGAAGATGAAAAATTTAATTTTAAATTCAATATCTTTTTACTGAGGGGTATTTACATTGAGGTTGCGTTGAAGATAAAAATTTTAATTAGACGGTTTTTATTCGTAAAATACTACGTTTTATAATTCGTAAAATTTTGTAGCAGTAGGCACATTTATATGCGAGTATCGTTTACTATCTTGTTTTGTTTTTTACCGTACGAGTAATGTGCTACGTGGGCAGCACGTGCTACCTTCATAAAAATATCAAGTGCTGATAAATCAATTTTGTTTGCTGTGAATGTGAAGCACTTACCTGTTACCATCCACTTTGAGTATGTATCACAAATTTGGTATTTCTGCTTCGATATTTGCTCTAACATCATTGAAAATATACAAAATAAATTTACTAGATTTTTGAGTTACACATAGATATCAATTGCCCCAGTTGGATTACATACACCGTTGTTGTGCAAAACTTACAGTTACGTATACAAGTTATTTTTATATCTGCGGAGAAATGTAGCTCAATATTGCATAGAGTTGGATTGATTGTTCAGAGGTAATAAGTATCTAATTATCATCAATCCATGCCTCCGTAGCCGAACGGCTATAATGCAGTGGTCCCGGGGTTCGATTCCCGGTCCGAGAGAAATATTTGTATGGCCTACTTTTATTTCTCTAGTGAGTTTGGGTGTAATTTGTGGCTGTCTTTGCGTGCGTCCATGGCACCCGCGATACAGGGTTTCCCTAGGTTATGAATGAGTGCGCTGTTATTATTATTACTATATGACCCACTGCTGGGTACTGGTCTCCTCTCAGGCGAGGGGTTGGGCCATAGACCGCCACGTTGGTTCAATGCGAATGGAGGACTTTACACGTTCTTCGAGGGTTGTGAATCTTTTCGACGTGCAGGTTTCGTCACGACGTTTTTTTTACCGAAAAGCTCATGGTAAATTTAAAATGAAATTAAGTAATATTGTACTGAAACTTCCAACTCGCATTGGGTTAGCATCATGAATTATGGTCTAAACTCTCTCTTTAAAGGAGACCCGCGCCCATCAGTTGGACGTATAGTGAGTTGACGATTCTTTTTATAATATCAAGTGACAAGCTACACGCCTGTCCATAACAGTTACAGTGCCACTCAGAGCTTTAAATCGCAGTGATCTGAAGGGCACTGCAACTGTGCCCGTCACCCTGAGACATAAGTTGACAAGTCCCACGTGGCTGTAATAATCATCAGCACCTTACCTATTTCTACTTGACGGCAGAAATAGGTAAGGTGGCAGTACTACCCTGGACGAACTCTTTCACAAGGAGTTCTACTGCTACTAAGATGATGATCACTTTTTAAATTATTGCTATTGAGCAATTTAAAAAAAAATTGAACAAAAATTTTCTACTCATTATTTTTATATCACAATTTACAAGCCACCAGGCAATACAAACAAGTATTGTGTTCGTACGTTGAAAACGGACACGGGTTCATCGTCTTCAACCTTGAAATGTTACAATTCCATATCGAGTGCGAAACTAATTCTTTCGATAACGTCAAGGCAGAGTGAAAACCACAGTTAAGCATTTTTTTTTTAAATTTTTTTTTTTGAAGAAGACTTTTAAAGCTATATAGCGTTCGAGGAAGATATATTTTTACTAAAGGAGTCACCACACTCGGGATCGTCTTGAGTCGATCAGAAAAACTTTTATGTCCATGCAATTAGGGCCAAAACGCAGAAGTATATAGATTCATTGACACTGACACCGAATCTGAAGGGAAAACAAATGATATACAACTAGCGTTGCGTCATGGAAAAAAATCATTTAAAAAGAATCAAATCTTTCACAAAAAGAAATACTTTCCGTATATTTTTCCAATATGTTTCCTTTAATTTTCCACATTTGACGTTGATACCTGTCAAAAGTTGAAGTTACTGAACGAAAACGATAGAGCCAATAAAAAGATTTTTTCGCTGTTGTGAATACATTGTAAATCTCGTTTTTACTCTAAGTGGCTTTTTGGTATACAAGTTTATTTTATAATCACGCTAAATAAAACTTCAAAAGATATTTCTAAACGTCGAACATAATACGAGCCGTCGAAATTATATTAGTTCAAATTTTCGCGTTTTTTTCCGGAACAATTGACAGTATTTGAAATTTTTCGGAAAATTACTCAACAGTAGATACAACTCGATTTCTATGGACGAGGAAACAACTTCACCCAATATGAGCCACTACAGCAGCACAAAACCAACACCATCATTGCGCATTCCTAACAACCTAACCTAACCTAAAAACTACCTACCCAAATAACCAACCAGCGCTGGCGTTACCGCATGTAGCGCCCGGATGCAATCAATACCCTAGCGCCCTCTAGTACACGATCAAAATGGAATACTTGCAGTTATATTTTCCCCAGCGATCGGAAATTCGGGTGAAATTATAAATGATGTTGGGAAGCAATAGCCTGTTTTAGGGGTGCACAAAACGGTTCGATTTTTATATAGACTCAAGGGAATACGATCTAGCAATATTTTGTATCTATTAATTTAAATGTCTTATTAATTTGTTGTAGTCAGTGAGTACTTAATTGGTATTGATAATTGTTTACATCACTGAAGCAAAATCTATTACAGACAAACGCCGACACTATTTATATTATCGCATTGTTTATGGTACAGGAAATAATGAAATATGTATTTATCTTAGCTTTAATTCATAGCTGTTTTTAATTTAAACCCAGTATGCAAAGCAAAATATGCCAGTGTGTCGTAATGACTAAAGGCAATATAGGTATTATATCCACACCACTAATTGATTTCATCAAGTACAGAAACGGAAAATAAAGAGGAGGACAATGCTTTGCACTTAAAGTTATATGACGTAGTTATCCAACAGTTTAGATGTAAAGGATTGGCATTTGTGAAAAGTAAAACAATATTTACATATTATTATGACCATTAAATCATATGATATAAAAAAGGTGTTTAAATAATTACAAATTTAAATATTTATGAGATCGACTCAAAGCAAAAAATCGTGCATCCCCTGCCCGTTTAATTTGCTTGCGCCGCTGCAATCGATGCAAGCTCTTTAGAAGTATCGCGAGAAACGTTCACGCCCCCAGAACCGTGCGCCCGTGTGCGCCGCACACACTGCACCATAGGTAAAGTCTGCTATTTAACTAACTACCTTATTACCTACTTTCTCTCACGCCCTGCATAGCCCGCAAGAATCTGGCCATCGGCTGCGGTGATCTTCTCCTTCACAATCCCGGGGGTGCCCCGTTGTATTTCCTGCTTGTCTGAGCGTAATTACCTATATATATATA